CGCCCCAACCTGCCCCCGGGCTCCGGCTCTGTGGCAAGCAGGAGGGCAGGACCGACACAAGCGGCAGCTGGCACCATCCCCACGGCAGCCCTCTGGGGCACGTGGACTCCAAAAACGCTTTTCAAGGTCTGAGGACAGAGCAGATTCCTAATTCAATTGAAAAAAAAAATTCCTTTTGCATCCTTCTTGCTGACTCAGCGTATTGTTTGCAGCTGGGCCAGCATGCGAGTGCCTGTGTCGAAGAGTTATATGGCTTTCTGGCAAAACTAGCCAGTATGGAACTAATTGAGCCCACCCAAACCTAGCAGGAGGCAGGGTTTCCTTTCAATTAAAAGTATTCTGCTAGAAGGCAGCACACAAGATCTGATGTGGGTGTTCGGAGGAAAGTTTAATAATATTTTTCACGGGCCTTAAAAAAAAACCCACTAAAGCAGCCTAGCTATTGAGTTCAAAGGAAAATGTAAGCAAAAATACCCAACATGAACCCCCAAACTTGAAATATCTTTCCTATCAAATATATCTCATGCATTAAAAGATTCTGAAAGAAAATTTTTGAAGAGTGGTGTTAATTCAGCTGATTTCACTTGCTAAATCGCCTGTGTCAGGCTATCATGGCTCCTTTTTGCAACCCCTTTTGTTAGCATGTTTTGAGCCCTCTGGTCCTTGCAATCTTTCCTCTATTTGGCAGGTGCAAGATATTAACTCCATCCTGGCTGGAGGGGCAGTGTGGGGGCTGGAAGGGCAATTAGCTCCTAAAACAAAGGGAGCTGTGATGGAGGAGAGGATTTTTACTAACAAAACCTCAGGAACAGCTCGGCTCCGTTGACATTTATTTTTGTGCTTTTATTGCTCAAATTACCCACAAAACCAGCTTGGTCCCAGAAGGCTAAGGGATTTCTATTAAACATGGTGGAGGGGAAATTCTTCAAAGCAGGCTGGCATGTCTGCCAGGGGGTGAAAATGAGGTTTGAAGCTGCCTGCTGCACAAAGGAAAATGTGAGCAGGGAAGGAGGGAATGGAAATGAAGCTGTGGAAGAGCAGGGGGAGGCGACCTGGTCTGTAACAAGGAATGGGCCAGAAGCAGAGGTGACTGGATGGTTTATTCCTGTGAAGTGGAATAGGGATCCATCACAAAGGGCCAGAAGTCAGGGAGGGATAAGAAGCATTGAGGGAGTCTGTGGAGAACTGGATTCTGGTGGGAAAAGGGCTAAAGTGGGCCCACGTTACTAGAAAATGGTACTAGGGAAAAACATTGTAAGGGAACAAGGTGGAAAAATGAAAGTGGGTAAGAAGGTGTCAAGGAGGCTTTTCATACCGAAAACTAAGATGTGAGAGGAGACCCTCTGTACCAGGAGACAGGAGCAGCGAGGGCTAGAGGCAATGAGCTGTGTTCTGGGTCCACCTTTTCCTCCTTCCCGCTACCTGTGATGTGTTCAGGAGGGGAGCAGAGATGAGCGGGTAGTAGGAGAGCGGGGCCCGAATCCAGGGAAAGGACAGCAGGAAGCTGGAGACAGCTCTCGAGTGTTGTAGCCTGCCAGGCAGAGTAGTGTGGAACTGAGAGGAAGCCCTTGGACCTACACTCTACTACTTTTTGCTACTTTTTGTGCTCCCCACTTCTTTTTTAATATAAATTTCCTCTATAATAATATTTTTTTTTTTAATGTGTGTTTTTGGATGCAAAGTGAAAAAGGCTATATTATCAGCTTGGGACCTCTGGCTGCCTGTCTTTTTAAGATCAGCACTTAAGTAATTATTTAAGTAAGGAAACATTTCCATCCAGAAATAATGGAGAAAGGTGTCTTGGTGTTATGCTGCAAGTTGCAACAATAATTTCTGCTTGCTTGGTAACTTCATCTTTTGAAGTATCCAGATTCTCCCAGGGGTATATGTGACCTCACCTTCTAGTTACCAAACTTTTCCAAATGTCGGATTACACTCAGCACTAGATTAGGAATGTGCTTGACATTTCTTTATAAGGTGCAGGGAAATATCTGGGTGGAGATGAAAGCAGATACAAGTGT